AATTGTAGAACACGCTCGTTATGAAAATAAGATAACATGTACACAATTATTAACATAGGCTTTAAAAAATATATATACAAAATAAAAATAAATCCCAATATAAGAAATTCCCTATTGATCCGAGCCGAGCCGAGTCGAGCCAAATAAGCAGTTAATAAGCCGCCGCTGATAAGGAGGCCAGTAAGGAAAGTCATGGCATTGACTTGCATTTGTAGAGCTTCAATGTAATCAGTCGTTTCTTCTAGAAGGTTAGGCAATGCAAGCTTCCGGCAACCAAGAACTAACCTTCCCAAAACCCGCAGTTTACTCTGCACAGGCAGCAGTTTCTTCTTAACAGCCATAACTCTCCGACTTTATACTTGCAACCAATTCCCAACATAAATCAGAAAGTGTAGGTACTTGAAATCGAGGCTCAGAAATCACATCATTCTGATAATGTTGCAACTCAATTTTCAAACAATAAATACCTTGCTGCACAAAATCTTCTGGATAAAAATTTTCTGCAAGCTTGCAAATATTGTCCATGTTAAATGATTCAAAAGAGTTTTTTGGATCCAAAGACGTACTGAGAGAAATGAGTTCTAATAATGTCTCATTAAATCTTGTATCTAACTCCATCATCCAAAAATCTATGGTTGTATTGAAGATATCAAAGTGGTGATGATGTTCAATGGTAGGATACTCACAACCACGAGAACGGCCAACCATGTACAAACCATCAAAGTCGGGTATATGTATATCATTTTTTGAGCAAAAGAATTTCACCTCTTGAAGAAATTCTTCCCAGCCATCTTCTCTCAATGCTTGAAGGATATTTTTTGTAGTATGGACAAATCTCATAGCAGTTGAGATGTCTTGAGTTTTCTTTCTGACAAAGTACATCCGTAATTGCCAATATTCTGCGCATTAAATGCAAGACAAATACAAATTCAAATGTTGTCATGTTTTTGTATACACCACCAGGAGATCTCATATTTGGAGAATGCTCACTAAGATACTCAAGCACTTTGCAAGTTGCTATACATATCAATCAAACTCTTCACAGAGCTATAATGAGAAGACTTACGAGTACCTCTGGCTCGTTGCAAATTACCAAGCCGATTAGCTCCACTTCTTGACTCTCATTCTCCAATTTTCAACAAATACTCAATTTTTTTTTCTTTGGGCACTTTTCAACTTATTGATACGCTTAGGAGATGATGTAATCATATTAATAACACCGTCCAAATGAGAAAAAAATGAATTAATATCTGAGACATCCCTAGCTGCAGAAACCAATGTGAGTTGTAAACGGTGGGCAAAACAATGGACATAGTATGCATATGGACAATCTCTAA